TGCCCCACAGACAAGGCTCTGGCCTGGAAGGCCATACCCATTGCTCTGGGGGCGGAGGACTAATTCAGGATGGGTAAAGGGAGGGGGCTTGCACACTGTGGGAACAGCCCCGTCGTCGGCCGACGGACAGCAGAGAGGCCAAAGCCGCTCATCATTTGCAATTCAGATCATGAGCAGCCAGTCCGGGAATCAATGGTGCTGTATTAATCTGCCGACTGCAAATGTCATCTGCATTTTGATTCTTGACCCCCTTTCTGACGCTGCCCACACTGGGGCCATTGTCCTGTGGGGGCCACCCCTCGCTGTGTTCTCGCGTTCCCTGCCCAAAGTCCCACATTAGCCAGGCAAAACCCACAAGCCGCGCTGCCTTTCAGAGCAGCCCCAGTCGCTGCTATTTAGCCGTGTGTTCTGCAGGTCTCTCACAGCCCCATAAAGGAATTAGGAGCGCGAGACAAAGCTGAAATACCAGTCGCTATTTGGAAAGCTAAATGGCGCTAACCTTTGTGGCCATTGTGACATATAACAATTTGTGTCACAAATCTAGTTAGAATGTGATGGTAAATCAGAACAAAACAAAAAATGGCAAAAGTCACAGCGGTTGGAGAATGTTAGCATGATGAATGCCATGGCCAAGGGACCAAAAAGGGATGAGAATGAGAAACAAACGACAATAAGAACCATATAAAAAACACACATTTGTGTTGTTGTTTTTATTGGATTTGTGCTAATTGCTTACGGTTTAGCAACACTCTTTAGCTATTAAAAAAAAAATAGATATAGGGTTGTAGTTGTTTCATAACCACATTGCACTTTGTAGGTTTGTTTGTGCTGTTTTGACCAATGAGTTTTATGTTTTATGCCAGTTCTCAGACATATCAACAACTTATTTACTTAAGGTATTGATAATAAAGTGCAATTAAATTATACAATTATCAAACAAACAAAAAAAGTAATGATAATGAAATACATGCATGCATACATAAATCGCTAATAAACACTAGCCAAAGATATTAATTTAATATGCTGCTATTATTGACTTTCATCCCTCCTGGGGGAGAGAGAGAGAGAGATTAATTCTGAGAAATTTCATGTCATCTAGGAATATCCAAAAGAGGGCATATTAATTAATTACCTATTCATATGACTCACAAATTCAGATCTTTTGATGCTGTTTACAAGCAAAATGATGTAGCTTTTGAATGATGTTCTTCTTTCACATCTTTCATCTAATGCTCGAAACTTTGAAAAGAAACAGACACACACAAGCACACAATTGTGATAAACAAACAGACAACCTGACTTTTAAATTACAGAAGCTCAATAGAATAAACAACAAATCCAACATATAAACATACCAATTTTGTTAATGCATTTGTCTAGTTTTGATTGACTAAATACCCATGTATTGATGTATTACTGTTACAGTTTCATCATGAGGTCAAAACATACTCTACACAACAAGTATTTATAACAGCCATAATCGCTTGGCAAATGCATTGCACCATTAATGGATTCTACGCACGGTCTTCTATCTACATGTTTTCTGCTAAAATCTCAGAGGCTACTGTTGTATCATAGCAAACTATGGTAATAGCAAACATTTCCTGTCATAATTTGTTTTACTAATTTAGTCAATTTACACTAACTACAACAAGACAAAAACATAAAATAAAAAATCCTAATGTGCAACGGAAACAAAAACAGCATAATTTAACTAAACTTTATAACTCAGGTGGTACAGCTGTAAGTGTGGCATTAAAATCACTGATAGCACAGTTTTTACATTGCTAAATGACACTATTATCAAAACAGCTGCGGTGATGCCACACTAATGGAAAATGTACTCAAGTTAGCAAATAATGTAGTTAAGTTTAGTCAGATTCTCTCCAAAACTGCTAAAAACGCCATGTACTTGCCGTAACCTAGAAGACCACAAACCAAACACAAAAAACACCAGGGGCCTCATGCATAAAACTTTACGTAGATTTCATCCTAAATGTGTGCGTACACACAAAAGCTAGATTTTGAGTACGTTCAAAAGTTTTCAGATTTATAAAGCCATGCGTACACCTGAACCTGCGCAAAATTCCCTTTGTAATACCCAGTCAGCGGAAGACGTGCATGAATCTCCACCCCGTCTCCTCCCCGAAATAGCCATATATGGAGCTTACAACGCCTAGTTTTAAAGGGGTCATATGATGCTATTTTAAAGATCATTATTTTGTGTATTTGGTGTTAACAGAATATGTTGACATGCTTTAGTGTTAAAAAAACACATTATTTTTCAAATACTGTACATTATTGTAGGTCCTCTATGCCCCGCCTCTCTCAAACACGTCGTTTTCAACAAAGCCCCCTCCTTTGACAAGCGCAGTCTGCTCTGATTGGCCAGCTGACCCAGTGCATTGTGATTGGCCGAACACCACAAGCACGCGTCGGAAATGTAACACCCCTTACCATAATCGCTTCAGCTTTCAAAGTAAATATCAAGACAGTTAATAATGTCGTTAGTTTTACCATCAGTTCAAGCCCGAAAGGGCAACAGAGTCGCGTGACAGACACAGTGATGATGCAGTACACAAGCCGCGGTTAAGACAGCTGACGTGCTATGATTTCTGACAGGCAGTTCACTCTCCTGTGATAAAAATCCCTTTATAAATCCCAGTCAGGGGAAGATTGTGCGTACGTGCATCTCCACCCCGACTCCTCATATATGGAGCTTACAATGCCTAGTTTTACTATGCATAACCTCATATGCATATCATTTCCATGCATATTCCATCCACGTGACACCATGTTTAACGCAGTTAAGGGTACAAAACATTAGGAAAATATGATATACGGACTATAAATGTGTTTTGAGACATCACATTGCTATTCAAATTTGTGCAATTTTGCCTATAATGTAAACATATATTTTAGAATGTTTATAGCCTGATAAAAATGATTTTGTGGTGAAGTAAATACTACATAAAAACAAATGTAATTTCTACATTAAATAATTTAGTT